CTTGAACTGGAACCCATATGGGATGCTGACACTGCAGGTGGCGGCTTTACCTGCTATGCCACAGTGCTGGCCCCTTTAGCATATAAGATTTATTTATTTATTTGAAAGTCAGTATTACAGGGAGAGAGAGAGATAGAGAGAGATCTTCCATCCGCTTTGTCCACTACTTGAATGTCCTCAGTGGCTGAATGTCCTCAATGGTGTGCCAGCTCAGGCCAAAGCCAGAAGCCTAAAACTCCGAGTCTCCCACATGGGAGCAGGGGTCCAAGCAGAGTTACACAGACAGAGGAGAGACAGAGACACAGAGAGAGAGAGAGAGAGAGAGAAAGTCTTCCATCCAATGGTTCACTCCCCAATTGGCCGCAACAGCCGGAGCTGTGCCGATCCGAAGCCAGGAGCCAGAAGCCTCTTCTGGGTCTCCTCTTGGGCCATTTGCTGCTGCTTTCCCAGGCCATAGTGGGGAACTGGATTGGAAGTGGAGCAGTCGGTTCTCGAACCAGCGCCCATAGGTGATGCTGATGCTTCAGGCCAGGGTGTTAATCCACAGTGTCACACCGCCAGCCCCCCAAAAAATGTAGTGTATTTTCCAGGGCCGGCGCTGTGGCGCAGCAGGGTAACGCCCTAGCCTAAAGCACCGGCATCCCATATGGGCACCAGTTAAAGACCCGGCTGCTCCACTTCCCATCCAGCTCTCTGCTATGGCCTGGGAAAGCAGCAGAAGATGGCCCAAGTCCTTGGACCCCTGCACCCATGTGGGAGACCCCGAAGAAGCTCCTGGCTTTGGATCGGTGCAGCTCCGGCTGTTGCTGTCAATTGGGGAGTAAACCAGCAGATGGAAGACTTGCTCTGCCTTTCCTCTCTGTGTAACTCTGACTCTCAAATAAACAAATAAATCTTAAAAAAAAAAAAAAAAAGAGTATGTTCCTTGTATTAATTTGTGAAAGCGTAAGTTGAGGAATAGTATCTAAATGTTGGTCAAAGAAGTCAATAGATTTAAATCAGATCTTGTGCATCTGTACAAGTGCCATACCACAGTGCCAGCCCCAGCATATAACTTTTTTTTTTTTTTTTGGGACAGGCAGAGTGGACAGTGAGAGAGAGAGAGAGAGAGAGAAAGGTCTTCCTTTGCCGTTGGTTCACCCTCCAATGGCCGCGGCGGCGGCGCCAGGAGCCAGGTGCTTCTCCTGTTCTCCCATGGGGTGCAGGGCCCAAGCACTTGGGCCATCCGCCACTGCACTCCCTGGCCATATCAGAGAGCTGGCCTGGAAGAGGGGCAACCAGGACAGAATCCGGCGCCCTGACCGGGACTACAACCCAGTGTGCCGGTGCCGCAAGGCGGAGGATTAGCCTATAGTGAGCCACGGCGCTGGCCCCCAGCATATAACTTTTAAAATATAAGGTATAGGCCAGCGCCGCGGCTCACTAGGCTAATCCTCCGCCTGTGGCGCCCGCACACCGGGTTCTAGTCCCGGTCGGGGCACCGGATTCTGTCCCGGTTGCTCCTCTTCCAGTCCAGCTGTCTGCTGTGGCCCAGGTCCTTGGGCCCTGCACCCACGTGGGAAACCAGGAGGAAGCACCTGGCTCCTGGCTTCATATCGGTGCAGCGCGCTGGCCGCAACACACCAGCCATAGCGGCCACTTGGGGGGGTGAACCAACGGAAAAAGGAGTTTCTCTCTTTCTCTCTCTCTTTCACTAACTCTGCCTGTCTAAAAAAAAAAAAAAAAGGTATAACTACAGATAACTATCAAAAATGGGGAAATGGCCTATTTAATTCAGAAAGGAACAGTATAGTACCATAAGATCTCAGAAATCAACAGGAGAGCAGATTACATCATCATGTGTTCTCAATATTTAATTTCTAATACAGATGATAAAATATACAGTTAACAGCAAGAAAATTCAAACTTTCATAAATCCTTTTAGAAAAACCTATAGCAATAAAAAAGTTTAATGATTTACAGCTGGTTTTCTTTTCTTTCTGTATTTTATGTAAGAGCAAAGGCTCTCAAAATTATTTATTTTGGAAAGTATCAAAGATTTTAGGGTGTTTCCTAGTGTCTTAACCAAAACAAAGAGAGAAAATTAGGGAAAATCATTTGGTGAGATACAAATCAGTAATCGTGAATGAGGGATCATGAGCAAGTAAAGCTGCTGCCTGAGACAATAGCATCCCATGTGGTTACCAGTTTGTGTCCTGGCTGCTCCACCTCCCTGCTAATGCACCTGGAGAAGCAGCAGAAGATGGCCCAAGAGTCTGGGCCCCTGCACTCATGTGGGAGACCCAGATGAAGCTCCTGGCTCCTGGCTTTTGCCTGGCCCAGCCCTGACAGTTGTGGCCATCTGGGAGTGAACCAGCGAATGGAAGATCTCCCTTCTCTCTATGTCTCTCTCTCTCTCTCTGTAGTTCTTTTCAAATAAATAAATAAAACTTTTTAAAAAATCACCAATGAAAGAAGAGTTTTAAATGTAAAAATATTTAATTAAAATATCCTATTTTACAACTCTCAAAATTGTGCACATACATACCACACAAGATCTGATTTGAATCTGTTGACTCCTTTGACCAACATTAGATACTGTTCCTCAACTTGTGCTTTCACAGTTAATACAACAGACATACACTCTTTCTAAAAAGTTTTCTGGGGGCCACCTGCAATGCCAGCATCCCATGTATGCACTGGTTCAAGTCCTGGCTTCTCTGCTTCTGATCCAACTCTCTGTTAACATGCTTGGAAATGTAGTGGAAGATGGCCCAAGTGCTTGGGTCTCTGCCACTCACATGGGAGACCCAGATGGCTCCTGACTTCATCTTTGCCCAGGCCTGGCCATTTGGAGAGTTAACCAGTGAATCTCTCTCTCTCTCTCTCTCTCACTCTCTCTAACTATACTTTTAAAATAAATAAATTATTTTTTAAAGAAATCAAATTTCCCTATCTATGTCCTTCCAACAACTGATTTATGATAGGCATTCTCCTATGCTCATACAATATATCAGAAAGACATACAAGTTGTTCTATACCAAACAGACTTGATATAGCAAAGTCTAAAGGAATCTGAATCATAAGTTTTAAAAAGTATAAGGTTAGCAAATCATGTAGGAAAACTGGAAACTAACTTGCTACTATGCAAGAATTATCCTTATAGGGCCAGTGCTATGGCACAGTGGGTTAAACAGCCACCTGCAATGCTGGCATCCCATTCCCAGCTGCTCCTCTTCCAACCCAGCTCCCTGCCACTGCATCTGGGAAAGCAGGGGAAGATGGCCCAAGTCTTTGGGCCCCTGCATCCATGTGGAAGATCCAGATGAAACTCCTGGCTCCTGGCTTTGGCTTAGCTTTGGCCATTGCAGCCATTTGAGGAGTGAACCGCTGGGTGGAAGCTCTCTCTCTGTCTCCCCCTCCCTTCCTCTACTTCTGCCTTTCCAATAAATGAAATAAATCTTTTCTTAAAAAAAAGATTGCATTTCACTGAAAAATAGAACAGTGAGCCCTTAATTCAACTTACCACTGGATTTTCTGTCAGTAAATAGATAAAAAAAAATTTTTTTTTGGTTTTACTTTACTAACTCTTAGATTTGCCATCTTAAAAAAGAATTTAATATTCTTTACAGGGTTTCCATTTATAATAGGCATCAGTCATCTAAAATTAGTGAACCTTATCTCAAAACATATCTTTTTTTTTTTTAAGATTTTTTTATTTATTTATTTGACAGGTAGAGTTACAGACAGGGAGAGAGAGAGAGAAAGGTCTTCCTTCTGTTGGTTCACTCCCCAAATGGCTGCAAAGACTGGAGCTATGCCAATCCAAAGCCAGGAGCTAGGTGCTTCTTCCTGGTCTCCCATGCGGGTACAGGGGCCCGAGCACTTGGGCCATTCTCTACTGCTTTCCCAGGCCACAGCAGAGAGCTGGACTGGAAGAGGAACAACCAGGACTAGAACCGACACCCATATGGGATGCCGGCGCCGCAGGCAGAGGATTAACCTAGGGTGCCACAGTGCCGGGCCCCCAAAACATATCTTGAATTACAAAGTCTCTAAGATAAAAGGAAACCAGTGTAATAAGGTAATTCTTAAAAGATGCTTTGTGCTTTTATGATATATTCCCACCATTAATCACACATAATGCCATTGTGAATACATACTCAGCAAAGTGGAGTTAGAAAATAAGTTTAACTGTGAGATTGATTTTGATTGGAGAGAATATGGGATAAAACAGAATAATAGAGACTACTCATCCTTGCCTCTGCTCTGTGAGTTTGCCTCTTAGCTCTTTTATTTACCAATACAGGTACCCACCAACTGCTTAAAAAAACAACAAGAAACAGTGTGTTATGGAAGCCCATATGCACATCAGAAAATTAGAAAAGCCTTATTTTCATTTCCACAGTTGCTCTCTAGGCCAGAACCACACTTTCTGAAAATGCAAAGTATGGAACAAAATAAATATAGCCTAGAGGATTTCAAAACAAACCCAATCAGAAACATTACAGAAAAAAAGGGCAGCTTTAAGGGAAAAAACCAGATCATCTTGGATGCTAATCCAGTTTCTATTATATGTTACTTTTTTGGGAAGACCATCCCCAGAAGGCAGCCAGAGGAACAGGGAAAGTAAGTACGAAGCAATTAGGTTGTTGAGGGCTACAGGGCAAGAGAGGACCAAGGAGAACCTCAGGGAGGGGATAGGCTGGACAGGTAGAGTCAACTCTAAGGAGAATCCCATTAGATTTAAGACATACCAGTACCCTTTTAACAAATAGGACAGAGAAAGGACATGTTCCTCCTGTTCTCTAGAGAATTAGGGGCAAGAGAAATGAGGGCTCAGCTTCCTTCCTCTTGTCTCAGGGGAGTTGGCTCCTCAGGCCCAAGTGTGCATCCTGTGCATTCTAGTAGTGTCCATCCACAAAAGTTTTGATTCATAAAAATTTCTTGGCACTAAAGCTAATCTACCAATAGTGAAGAAAATAAACACACAGAGCAATTGAAACCAGATTCCACAGTACTTGATTCAACTGTTTACTAAGCAAAAGGTTCAGTATAATTGGTCCTGTATCTACCTCTGGCTTTTCTGCATCCTTTATTACAAATAAAACAAATCTTGTCTGAGAATATCATCTATCATCTTACAAATATATGACTAAAGAGTCCTAAAGTAATGATACATCTCTAGGAATGGAGCTTCTCTTAAAAACAAATAATTACTATTAGTAAATCTTATATCTAAATCTATATAGCAACTTTAAGCAATGTGGAAGTGAAATAATGATTTATTAATTTACATTAAAAATTACATTATACATTAAAGAATAATTTTTCAAAATGTTAAAAAACAAAGTTTGAAGCTGTCATTATTGGGATTCATGGGACGTGGTTTGCTCTTCTATCACTTGTTTCACAATTTCTGCCAGTTTTAGTCGATCTACTTTATCTGTGAATCCACGACCTGAAACCCAAGAAAGAGCAAGGTTAATTTTCAAACTGAGTCCTAACAGGGATACCTTTCCAGTGTCAAATTCACTCTCGCCAATGGAATAACCATCCCCACCACTGATCAAAAGCAGTTTAAACCTCCCATTTTTTCAGGTTACAATTGAATAGTTCCATTAACCTAACCGTTCACTCCAGTAACACACAAGCAAACCAGAAAGAGAGATCTTTGTACATCCAACAAAGGACTCACACCTAGAACACAAGAGATTTCAATGGGCACTTCAAGGAAATCTAAATGGTTGGGTAATGCAAATTAAAACACACCCTAATACCACTTCATACTAGTCAGAGTGACTAAAATTCAAAAAGTCAATAGCAAGAGTTGGCGTGGATATAGAGTAACCAGAACTCTCAAACACTGCTAGTGGAGGTTTATAAACTCATATAATCACTTTGGAAAACTGATGTAGTACCTACAAAAGCTAAACATAAACTGTATAAGCTATCAATTCCAGTCCTGGATATGTAAAGGAAATGAGTTCATCAACATGCTCATCAAAAGACACACACGAGTGTTCAGAGCAGCCCTTAATTGTTAAAACCTTGGAAACAACACGAATGTCCATTCAGTCATTTATGGATCTATGTAGTATTTTCAGACAATGAGTATGAAAGATTTGCTACACAAAACAACATGGATGGGTCTCAGAAATGTAACGTTGACTACAAGAGCCAGACATCAAAGAACAGCCTTGTCTGATTCTATTTACATAAAATACAAAACTCGGCAAACTAATCTGTAATGCTAGGAATCAGGACTGTGACTGCCCCTGAGTAGAGGGAGAGAAGAAATGAGGAGAGTGTGTGCTCCACTACATGATCTGTATGCTGCTTACAGGGGAGGGCTCACTTCAGGAAAACTCAGAGTGTACACTCTGTACCAGTCTTTTCCAGGTAAGGGAATGAGTAGGCTAGCACTTTGGATTTCTTATGGAATGTCCAAGGCAGGCCTGAAGTCAGAGTTTGCTCCCTTCCCTGAGCATCCTGGAGCTTGTTTAATATAGGCCACTAAACTGGAATGACAATATAAAAATCAGTTCAAAAAATGCTAATTAAAAAAAGGAAGAAAATGTATTTCTATATTGATTGCCTGGGAGGGGGAATTCAACTAGCAGCCCATGTGGGAAGATGTTCAGTGAAATGGCCCTTCTCTGAGAAAGGCAGAGCAGCAGAGTGGACTCCCTGGCTTCTCTTCTCCTTCTGGCATGTGCTGCTCATTTAATGACCTAGTAAAGAGCCCTGGCATCTGGGAGAAGTTCTGAGATCTGGGTTTTTTTGTCTTTCGTGCCTTTTTTTCTTCTTTCCCCCAAGTGGTTTTCATTTGGAAAAGACCGGATGTCCAGATATGTGTGGGCAATTAGTGTCGGGTTGAACCCTGCCCCATTAATACTGCAGTCACTCTTCTGCCTCATTTTACCTGAAAACAGCCCCCGAGGCCCCAAAAGTGATCCCACATATTCTAAACACAATCCTTCTGCAGCATTCCTGAGGAAAAGAGTGATTAAGCTCCTACCATTCCAGCTGAAGCTTTGCAGACTGTCTCTTAGGAGTTTGCATTCCCGGTTATACTTCCAAGCTTCCTGCATTACTTCATTCAACTTCTCGTCTTCATTCTCTCCTATTGGTAAGGATGAAGAGGAAGTTGCATTTGTCCTGCAGCACCATGGGATTTTAGTGTCAGAGATGGAAGGACTTGATATCCAACTGGTTGAGCAATGGCGATGAAATCTCCAAAACTTCACCAGACACTGGCTTTACTGACAGTTCCTACATTACATGAAGGCCTCTTCTGGTACTGACCACTACTACTCTGATAGCCTGACACAAATCCCCTGACGGTCCCAGAGTCTCAGTACTGGAGAATGGCAAATAGGGAGTAACAGACACTAAGGCTGAGAAAAATACTGGACCAAGAGAAGGAGGGCAAACAAGACTGAGTAGGCTAAACTCATTCTCCTAAACTCATTTCTTACTTTAGAAGGTTCACTAAGGTACACTATATGAATTTTCTTAACACATGAGAATTCTAGGAAGAACAGCCCAACATTTTCTGGCCTCATTCATTTGCTGAGAAAACCCTGTTGTGCCCCATTGAGCAGAGACAGAATACACTGAAAGAAAGCTCTCACCCCAAAGGAGGCGTGTGTGAGTCACTACCCATGACACAAGTAGCAGCAGGGGCCAAATCTAAGTAAAGGAGGTGTCCTCTTCACACTCACAAGCTAATGGAAGCCTCGTCCTCTAAGGGCTCTGGGATGACGCCTAATAGCCTACACCTTGATCCTGACCCTGACCATATTTTCCATTCTCCACCCCTACCCTGTGCCCTTAGTGTCAAACTACGAACACACAAAATTACATGCAGTGCCTTACTGGCAATTCAGCCTAAACTAGAACTATCACAGAAAACCAAGGCATCGAACTTATCACATTTCTGAATTCACACTGTCCACTCTTTGGCAGGTACAGAGTAATTTATACAATGTACTTATTTTCTTAAAAGACAAAGATGAACAGACAACCCAGATTAAACCATGGCTTTTATGTGTATGCACACATGCACACACACACACACACACTCAGAGCATTAGTAAATGGCATGACCTTTACCAGCCTGTGGGAGAATACACTGGGCAATCACATCTCGGAGCTTCTCCAAGGCAACATTTGAATCTTCAGCGCCATTCTCTTGGTCGTGGATATAAACACCATCCTTTGGCTTGGTGCTTTCAAAGTTTGGACGAGAGGTAATAACAAAGTAAGACCCCAGAACCCAACTCTGAACGGATACTAAGTGTTAATGTAAGATAAGAGATTTTTCAGATACATAACTGTAAACTATGTCCATATTATATTGCTATTTTAAAAAACTTTTTCTCCCCACCCTCTTAAGAGGCAGAAAAAGAGCAGACCCCTGGCTGAGCTTTCAGAACCCAGCACTCAACGATGCCAGCCATGACAAAGAATTGAAGACATAAACTCAGATACCCAAGTAGCTTCCTCTTCCTCAGAATGGGGTTGTTCACCGAGTGCAGGGGTTTGAGGCTGACTTTCAGGTCCTGAATTCTCATGTTGGCCAACTGCTCCGCGTGAGCCTGCTGGATTCCCGCCACCACCGCCTGGAGGCAAACATGGCATCAGTGTTTCTCATCATTGCCAAGCATCTAAAAAGCCAATCTAATGTGGGAAGGCGAAGCCCAAGGTACTAAGAAGACAATTGCACTCTTGTGCCAATGGTATACAAAATTCTGGTAAGGCTCTTCCCTGTAGCTCAGCAGGGCCCAGTGAACACCAGACCAGACCAGAGGCTGCACTACTGCGAGCCCTTCTTCCCCAAGGAGAGCTGCAAAGACGAGGACACACATGAGGCTCAGGCTCACAGCGCCTGGCAAGAGCAAGTGTGAAAGAGGCAGGATAATCACAACAGGAGGGCTGCGCGGCTGCTACCCAAGAAGCCTTGCAGACTGGCATTTAGTCACTGCCTTCACAGCATGGACAGTCACCCCAGAACCTGACAGTCTCACTAGGTAAATATGGGCAAGCCTGAGGAGCAGACCTTCAATAACTGAGGCCACAGCCTGATCAATACACAAGCTAATGAAGTTACAATGAGAAATAACTGCCACGGAGTCTGGCACTCTCGAAGTCTGGTCTTTATGGCCAGTGTGTGTTGTCACTATGCACAGACTAATGTGGAGAGCCAAGAATCAGTCAAATGGCTTTTAAGAATGAGACAATCCCATTTTTAAAATTTATGCAGGATAAACTGTGTGTGTGTGTGTGTGTGTGTGTGCACGCACACGCACGCGTCCCCAGAAAAAGATCAGAAAGGATGCACCAAGATATCTGAGGGAAAAGACTGCACTAGGTGGCTGGCACTGCGGCTCACTAGGCTAATCCTCCGCCTTGCGGCGCCGGCACACCGGGTTCTAGTCCAGGTCGGGGCACCGGATTCTGTCCCAGTTGCTCCTCTTCCAGGCCAGCTCTCTGCTGTGGCCCGGGAGGGCAGTGGAGGATGGCCCAAGTGCTTGGGCCCTGCACCCCATGGGAGACCAGGAAAAGCACCTGGCTCCTGCCATCGGATCAGTGTGGTGCACCAGCCGCGGCAGCCATTGGAGGGTGAACCAACAGCAAAGGAACACCTTTCTCTCTGTCTCTCTCTCTCTCACTGTCCATGCTGCCTGTCAAAAATAAATAAATAAATAAAAAGACTGCACTAGGGGAATAAATTGGAACTTCTGGTTTTGTTTTGTTTTATTTTATTACTTTTTTTTTAAGCATGTTTCATGGTCGGGCATTTAGCATAGCGGTTTGGCACATCCTGTGTTGGTATGCCTGGTTCAAGTTCTGGCTCTGCTCCTGATCCAGTGTCCTGTCAAGGCACATTCTGGGAAGGCATCAGATGATGGCTTAATACTCAGGTCCCTGCCACCCACATGGAGACCTGGCCCAGCCCTCACTGTTACAGACATCTGGAGAGTGAGCCAGTAGGTGGAGGATCTCTATTTTTCTGTTTCTCTGTGAAAGGAAGGGGAGGGGAAAGGAGGGAAGGAAACAAAGAAGGAACGAAAAGTGAGAGAAAAAAGAAAAAAGAAGTTTTTAAAAATAGCACTTTTTATGCTAGCATTTTTAAAAAATGTATTTGAGAGGAACAGAGATAGAGCTCCCATCAGCTGGCTCATTCCCCAGTATCTGCAATGGCCAGAGGGGACACAGTGAGGAGCTGCGAACTCAGCCCGGTCTCCCTTGTGGGTGGCAGGAACCCATCTACCTGAGCCAATACCAATACCCACCAGGGTCCACCTTAGCAGGAAGCTGGAGTCAGAAGCTGGAGACTAGACTCAAACCCAGGCACTTCAATATTAAGAGGCAGGGCTCTGAACTGCTGACTTACCCACTAAGCCAAATGACAGCTCTTGCTTTTTATTTTATACCTCAGTATAGTCTGAATGATACCAACATTTAAAATATGACCAATTTATAAAAGTAGTCCCTTGTTGAGCAGTCAATCAGATGAGGTAGAGTCTGAACTCATTTAAGGTCACTATATACTCATGGCCAGCCCCGGCTACACTGTCATATACCCTAGCATGTGTCTCCTCATCAATAATGGTTCAATCAAAAAGATGGAGCAGCTCAATGTCATGAGCTCAGGCCCCTAGGTGGGGCACGGATGGGTGTTATTCAGCATCTGTATCGAGGACACTTTCCTGCATTTCCAAACATGACCGACCCACATCTGAATGCCAGGATGTCTTTAGAAATGAGAATCCCCGGTCACATTGCAATTTCGTCTTCTAGGCCAGGGAGTCACTCCTTCTCATTAAGAAGATTCTGCATATCCAGATTTGGCTTCATTCTGATTTTTAAGTAACTCCAGAAGGCAATGTTATCTCCTGATTTCCAAGCTCTTGAGGAGTGCCACACCTCCTCATGTGCTAACAACCAGGATCTGTGTGATCCATTTAGATTTGGGAATGACCACACCATCTCCAGACTACTAAGCATATTTAAACCAAGAAGACAATCATACATAATTCAAAGAGGTGACAGAGAACACAGTTCCTTCCAGCTGTTTTCCATGCCCTAGCTAAACTTAGCATTCTTTTTTTACCATACATTGATTCTTTTTCACACTTGAACTACATCCCTTCAAAGCTAGTAATGCTCAAGACTGTCACTGCCTTGACTTCTCAAGTGCACTTTGGTCCCACAGCCTGCACCTCATTCATTTGAATGTCCCTCTGCCACTGCTGAGAGTCTCCCCTTCCCCAGACCAGCCTCCTTCCTAATCTCTCACTCTCTTTGTCAGTAGTATCAGCTGATAGGCCACCTGCTGTCTCCTTATATTTAATCAGCCAACAAAAACGATAGAAATTTTTCTTCAAAGATATTGAGGCTATTCATTCATCTCTGCTTCTCTGTCCCCAGAGCTACCCCTTAGCTTCCAGATCACTGCAGAAGTCTTAGGTTGACAAGTCTGCAAGTCTAGCTGGCCAGCCCTAAAGATCTTCTCAATGGCAAAGTTCTTCTCAAAAATCTATCATGAGGGACCCACATTGTGGCGGGGTGGGTTAAGCCATTGACTGTGACACCAACATCCCATATAAGTGGAGGTTTGCATTCTGACTGCTGTACTTCCAATCTAGCTCCCTGCTAATGCACTAGGAAAGGTAGCCGACAGAAGATGGCCCAAGTGCTTGGGCCCCTGCCACCCACATAGGAGACCTAGATAGAGATGTGCACTCCTGGCTTTTGCCTGGCCCAGCCCTAGCCAATGCGACCATCTGAGCAGTGAACCAGTGGGTGGAAGACTGATAGATCTCTCCCTCTTCCTCTCTAACTCTCCCTTTCAAATAAATCTTAAAAATGACTTTTCTTGTTAAAAAGATTTATTTGTTTATTTGAAAGTCAGAATTGCAGAAAGAGAGAGGGAGAGACAAAGACTGGTCAATCTTCTACCCTCTGGTTCACTCCTCAAATGGCTGCAACAACCAAGCTGGGTTAGGCAATGTCAGGAGCTTCCTTTGGGTATCCCACATGGGTGGGAGGACTGAAGCACATGGGCCATCTGCTGCTGCTTTCCTAGAAGTGTTAGCAGGGAGCCAGATCAGAAGTAGAGCAGCTAAGGCTTGAACCAGTGCTATATAGGATGCCAGTCTGCATACAGCAGCTTATCCTGCTGCGCCCCAGTGCTGGCCCCCATGTTTTTACCATAAAATGTTAAATGTTAGAGAAGCTATATGTGTTTGTCCTGATTGGACATTACACAGTATATACGTGTACAGAAACATCACATGATATTCCATAAATATGTAAAATTTTATGTACCAGTTAAAAGAAAATATTTTTAAAAAATTTTAATCTACCATGGCCTCTCAGTTACATCCCACTAAGACTTAAAGCCTTTGATCAATTTGCAGAGGCCGGTCCTGCCACACCTACCTCACCAACATTCATTAGTGAGGCCAGGTTGTCTTTCCCACCAATGCACAACAGTCTCCGAACTCTACACTCCTGTTGCTCCCCATGCTTGGGCACTTAACACCAGCCACTCAAATTCTTCAAGGACAGCTTATGCTTAAACTTGTTTTGAAAGAGCTCAGAAGCTGCTATATAGTAAAGAGTTAATGGCCTTTTTCACCAAGATGGCGCCGAAGGTGAAGAAGGAAGTTCCTGCCCCTCCTAAAGTCGAAGCCAAAGTGAAGGCCTTGAAGGCCAAGAAGGCAGTGCTGAAAGGCGCCCACAGCCACAAGAAGAAGAAGATCCGCACGTCCCCCACCTTCTGGCGGCCCAAGACACTGCGCCTCCGATGGCAGCCGAAATACCCTCGGAAGAGCGCCCCCAGGAGAAACAAGCTTGACCACTATGCCATCATCAAGCTCCCCCCGACCACGGAGTCGGCCATGAAGACAGAAGACAACAACACACTGGTGTTCATTGTGGATGTCAAGGCCAACAAGCACCAGATCAAACAAGCTGTGAAGAAACTTATGACTGACGTGGCCAAAGTCAACACCTGACCAGACTGACGGAGAGAAGAAGGCGTGTGTGTGCTGGCTCCTGACTAGGATGCTCTGGACGCTGCCAACAAAATTGGGATCATCTGAACGGAGTCCAGCTGGCTCATTCTAAATATATGCTTTTTTTCACCATAAAAAAAAAAGAGTTAATGAATGTGAGGTGCTTTGCTTTCTCTTTGGGCAACTGACACCTCTTCAAAGATGTTCTCTTTTTCCAAATTCCCATAGCAGTCACAGAAAATGTAACATGAGATTCCAATGCCTGTTGGTGTTTCCTCTGTTCGTGGTTATTGGCCTTGCCTTCCCAACTAGTCTTGTTTAAATCCCTTGGTGATGGAAGGGTATATTATACTTCTCTGCATCCCCAAATCCATAGTACAAATATGGAGGATATTCTTTTGAGTGTTCCCTTAGTGTATATTTATTGGGCCTTGACCTGGTCTTTCATGGAGAGAAGTCCTTTATTTCACATTCTAATTTTCAGGAAACCAGAGATGTTTCTCTGGGAAAAACTGCTTGTGGTCCTTTGTTTTGCCTTTAACCCCTTACTGAGTCTGGCCCCAGCATTCCTTTTCAACACAGCCTTTTCAGGCAACAGAATAAGCATTATTCAAAACCTTATCCATCATCAGTTGAGCAGACGGTAGCACATTATCCAGGGCTTCGGTGGAGTTGAGCCAAGGGTGGTCCAAAACTCCCTCGATGGTGAGTCTTTCCTCTGGCTTGACTTTCAGGAGCCTGTGGAGAAAAAGCCAACAGTGCTGCCATGCTCAGTTGCTCCCAAAAAGCCATAGGAAGTTCCTGGGTCTGGCTCTCAACACTCTGACTTATTCTGACTTTCTACCAACTCCTGCAGAAGCATGCTTTTGCACCTGCAGGTGGGGGTGGAATTCCAATCCCCAGCCACTTGTTGTATGGTACAGTGACCTGAAGTGGTCTTTTCTAGACTGACAAAGTAGAAAAACATTGTAGGAAAAGGTTTAACCCAGTGATACTTCAAACTGAGTTCTAGGTTCAGTAAGATAATCTTACATATACCTTATAGTCCCTTATAATTTAAATCTCCATATTGAAGTTTCTAGGACAATGGATTTTATTTCCAAAAGAAACTCAAAGTTCTCTTTTGACTGATAGTAGCTGCAAAACTAGATGTAGCGTCATGTGGTTTTGAAAAGCAGGGTGCTACCCATGATAAAACTTATTTGTTACCACATGGCAAGACATGAATTCTTTATTCCAGATATAGTCAAAGAATAAAAATCTAGGGTTTCTGAGATGGGAACAGCATTTCCTTCTAAGCCTGAGAGATTCCTTCTGCACCTCCCACTTTCTGCTCCTGCTTCTTTACCTCCTGTCCATTCATGCTAATGCAACTCCTAGCTCACCTCAGCATTCTGCAGCACCTCCTCCTTCCAGTTACATATCCCCCATTCGAAATGTCAGTCAGGACATGCCTAATTGCTCTTTTAAGGTTCTCTGCAACCTTCTTCTGGATCATTCTGAATAAACAGTTCCAGATTTCTAAAGAAGCTCCCAAAGCTGAAAGAAGATAATCATTGTTGCATTCTATAGAAAGCTGGCAAAAACCACTTACAAGCTGTCGAGGTTTCAGTTAAATAGCCAGAAACACAGCATGTGAAGATAGGTGATGATTGAAACATCAATCCCACTCTTCTAAAAATTGTCCTTGCATATTCTAGAAAACAGTCCCTTTTTCTAGCACATAGACCAACTGGGCTCGCTCACCTTTGAAAAGGAGTAATCTCCATAGAGAAATGGCTATGCTGTCAGGGTTCAATTCCCAGGGACCTTTTTTTCATTAAAGATGAAGAAACTGCTCAGTGAAGACCAAGCAGTAGGAATAGCTGAGCAATGCCCATGGGCAGCTGAGCTTCCCATGTAAGTGGTCATAAAAAGCAACTGTACCTCAAATTTCAGGTCTGACTTCTTACCTAGTGCTTTCTCTACCAAAGGATTCTGAATATCAGCTGTCTTGAGCTACTCATTAACTCCAGTTCTTAACCAAATACTTCTGGCCTAATATATCTCAGAGAAAAAACTGGCACAGGGAAGGCAAGAGGCAGATGTCCAGGCCTAACAAAACCAGACTGCAACAATTTCCAAGGAATGAAAAAGCCACCATGTCGTCCTCATCTCAGCACCCCAGTTCAGGTTCCCAGCATCATGTCTGTCCCAAAAGGCGGGCACAGGAAGGAGGGTGGGTCAGGGGGCTCCCACCTGGTGTCCTGAATTAATGCCCACACAGACTGGCTGCAGAGGGTCCTGAGCTCACAGCCCTAAGGATAAAGTCTAGAAGTGAAGCAGGAAGTTTTCACAGAGGTGTGGACACTGAGAACTCTCTCCTCAGATTCCAGGGATAAGATTCTCGTGCTATTAAATAGGAAGGAATCTACTGAAGAAACAAATTACTTTACCCACCATTCACTTGTACTCCCACCAGCTCGAGGCCCTCCTGGCCTCCCCACCCAGCAGCCCAGGGACTCACTTCCTCACAACGTCTTTGGCCATCTCCGAGATCTGGCTCCACTCTTCCTCTGGAAACTCAAAACTGCCTGTCATGATCTTTCTCCGCATATCCTTTGGGATCGTCCGGCTGTGGTGTTTGGAGTAAAAAGGGGGATATCCGCACAGCATCACGTAGATAATCACCCCTAGGGACCACAAGTCACAGCTCTGAAAGCAAAAAAGAAAACAGTCATTCCTACCTAAGGCAGAGCCCCGAAGTGAGGCCCCAGGACAGGCTCAGGAATAGCCCCTAACATACACGGGCTAGTATCTCCCACAGTCACTTAACAGACTGGACAAAAGTTTCACACACCTTAGGAGAGCTAACCTTTCCATCCATATTTTTTATATGCCAACACTGCATATTTTTATATGTCAACACTGCATATATACATGCACATTCTCACACAGGGTAGTCTGGGATAAAACAGTCATTTTTATTCTCAGTGTTTAAGTTCAAGATACTTTGCCTCTCTAGTCAAAGAAGTAACTGATATCAACCAGTGTTGTTGTGAAATGTACTCTGTAAAGCTGCATAGGGCTGAGGGTATGGAAATAATGTGGCTAAGACACATGTACACTGACCTCATAATATAGCACAAGCCATTGTGTAAAAGCCAAAAACAGTCTGACCTAGATCAGGGAGAGCCACTAGAGGGAAAAACAGGTGGTCTAAAATAATTTTTTTGGCCCAGAGGACTTAACCCCATTTGTGAGAACTTCTACCATCTCAGGGGAGACGATATCAGAGAAAGAGAATTGCTGCCAACTCCGTGACTGCGGGTCCCGAGGAGACTCGCATGACCTGTAATCTCTATGTGATTATTAACAAAGAACTCTGATTTTTGTTAAATGTAGCTCTATTTGCCCCGGAAAATGGGTCTGCAGAGGCTTCAATTCAGTTCTTGAATTATGGAACAAAGAGGTGTCTGCTTCAGAAGAGTGCCCCCCTGAGCCTCCCTGGGCCGAACACCCCCCACACCACAGCTGCGCGCTGCTCAGAGAGGAGCTGGGGAAACAGGTGTCTCAGGCACTCTTGCCCATTTTGGTATCACACTAGTGGACATTTATGGGTAACATGACTTATGCTCTAGAATCATAGAGGTGAAAAGGGATCTTAAAAATGACTTGGTTCAGGGACTGGTGTGGCATAGTGGGTAGAGCCGCTGCCTGCAGTGCCGGCATCCCACAGGGTGCCAGTTTGTGTCCCAGCTACTCAACTTCCAAGCCAGCTCCCTGCTAATGGCCTGGGAAGGGCATCGGAGGATGGCCCAAGTGCATGGGCCCCTGCTACTCATGTGGGAGACCCTTTGAGGATGTTTCTGGCTCTTGGCATCAGCCTGGCCCAGCTTCGGCTGTTGCAACCATCTGGGGAGTGAACCAGCAGATGAAAGATCTCTCTGTCTCTCCTCTATATATAGCTCTTTTACATAAATAAATATTTTTTTATTTTAAAAAAAGGACTGGCTGGCGCCGCGGCTCACTAGGCTAATCCTCTGCCTTGTGGCACCGGCACACCGGGTTCTAGTCCCACTTGGGGCACCGGATTCTGTCCCGGTTGCCCCTCTTCCAGGCCAGCTCTCTGCTGTGGCCAGGGAGTGCAGTGGAGGATGGCCCAAGTGCTTGGGCCCTGCACCCCATGGGAGACCAGGAGAAGCACCTGGCTCCTGCCATCGGATCAGCGCAGTGCGCCGGCCACAGCGTGCCAGCCGTGGCGGCCATTGGAGGGTGTAACCAACGGCAAAAGGAAGACCTTTCTCTCTGTCTCTCTCTCTCTATCAACTCTGCCTGTCAAAAAAAAAAAAAAAAAAAAAAAAAAGGACTTAGTTCAAATCCCTCATGTTACAAATGAGAAAACTGATCCTACTAGAGATGACACAGAGATCATGACATCTCTCAGGTCCTCTGTCAAGTGCAGCTAAGGGGCCTGCACTGTGGCATAGCAGGTTAAGTCACCATCGGCAGTGCCGGCACCCCATATGGGCACAGATTTCAGTCCTGGCTGCTCTACTTCCTATCCAGCTCCCTGCTAAAGGCCTGGGGAAGCAGTGGAGGATGGTATAAGTCCTTGGGCCCCAACACCCACGTGGGAAACACAGAAGAAACTCCTGGCTGTTGGCTTCAGCCTGGCCCAGCCCCAGCTATTAAGGCCATTTGGAGAGTGAACCAGAAGATGGAAGATATTCTCTCTCTCTCTCTCTCTTTAACTCTGACTTCCAAATAAATAAAGCTTAAAAAAAAAAAAAAAAAGTCAAGCTCAGTCACTTAACCAACATGGCCCAGCTGGAGAATGGCACAGGCAGAGCAGGGACCCCACCTTTTTACCATCCTAAGCTCCATCTCTTGTCATCTAGATCCAGTCTCAAGTCGCAAAGCAGAATTTTATTTTCTGACTTACTCTGCGACTCCAGGACTTGTTTCAAGAGGCCCTAAACTTCTTGGACTCTAGAATAGGGATACTTGGTATGTGGGCTACAGATTAAGTACCATGACAGTAACAAGTAACATTTAGGAACACTTGCTGTGTGTTCTGGACATTGTTCTAAGTTGGGTATTTTATGGGGCAAGAAAGAATGACACCATAAGTGACCAGAATTTTCTCTAGCTTTGGCCTCTCAGAAATGGTGCCCAGCTTGAAAAAGCAAGCTAACGACATCTTTTCAATGTGGCCAGCAGGCTACACGACCAGCCAAATAAATAACCCAGTGGGTGACCACAGCCCTTTGTTCTGCTACCACAGCCAAATGGATAAGAACCTTACTCCATACTTCATCAGATAAAACACTTGAATTTCAAATTCTTTCCTGTGTGTCTTTTGGACAAGAAGCTAAGGATGGAAGTGACTGGCTACACTCCCAGAGGGCCACAAACACTCATAGGATGAGGGGGGTTATATTCAAGAGGCAAAATGAGCATCTCTCCCCTACCTTGTTGTAAGTATAGGGCGTTGGCGAGGTAGGTATGATGCCAGACTTCTCCTTCTGATGCCTTCTCTGTGCCTCCAGTACCTGTCAAGAGTCAAACCAAAGGGGATGACTTACTGGAAATTCACAACCAAACACCTGCAACTGATACAGCCTTTGGAAGCCTCCGAAGAGTGTGGACAGCTGGCAATCAACAGCTTGGAAATCCCCAAACACACGGCACTTTCAGACGCTTTCTCCTTACAAACAGTGATCTTGTCAGTCGGTCAAAGGCATGTTCAGACACAGGTGAAGGACATAAAGACCAAGCCCTTGGAGGAGATAAAACACTTCCTGCCCACCAAGAAGACTGAGATTCACTTTCTCCCAGAGACATCCTCTATGCCTATACAAGAGCATACGGGTCATGGCTATGGATCAGGTTCAAGACGTTTGCCACCACTAGTCTGAGCATTAACTGTTCCAAAGAGACAGGCACTGGCCTAAGTGGGGCTGTCATCCTGGCCTTGTTCCATTCTGCTGTGCACCAGAACTACCAGGGATGGGGGAACTGTTACCTGTGGTCAGCTGAATTCCAAAAATGTTAAGTGGAAAGATTCAGAAGTAAATGGTTTTAAAGTGGAGGACATGCAATCACAAGAACAAACAACCAATATTTTACAGTGTACCATGCTGCTAATGTGTGTATTAAATACACTTTCCCTTAAGATTCCTCCCTCCCTTCCTTTCATTTTTAATGTATTTGAGAAAGAGAGACAAAGAGCAAGACAGAAAAAAAGTTCCCACCTACTGGTTTACTTCCTGAATGCCTGGCCAAGGTAGCATAGCTGGGAACTAGGAACTCAATCCAGGTCTCCCAAGTGGGTGATAAGAGCATGTGACTACTGGGGCAGGTGTTGTGGTGTGGTGGGTAGAACCAATGCTTACAACCTGGCATCCCATATGGGTGCCAGTTTGTGTCCTGACTGCACCATTTCCTATCCAGCTCTCTGCTAATGGCTTGGGAAAAGCAGAAGATGGCCCAAGTACCTGGGCCCCTGCCACCTTCACGGTAGACACGGATGAAGCTCTTGGCTTCAGCTTGGCTGTTGCAGTCATTGCCATCTTCTGCTGCTTTCCCAGGCCATAGCAGAGAGTTGGATCAGAAGAGGAGCAGCCAGGACTAGAACTGGCACCCGTATGGATAAACCTACTGTGCACAACGCTGGCCCCACTCAGGTGACTTAATGGCTAGGCTAAACACACACCCCCAAATCTTTTGAACTTAGAATGGGTTTATATCGACGTATTTCAGTTGTAAGTCAAGAAGCAGCCATACTGACCTTACACAAACTGCTTCAGAAAGTAGAGGACAAACTTCCCAACTATTTTTTTTTTTTTTTTTTTTTTTTGACAGGCAGAGTGGACAGTGAGAGAGAGAGACAGAGAGAAAGGTCTTCCTTTGCCGTTGGTTACACCCTCCAATGGCCGCTGCGGCCGGCGCACCGCGCTGATCCGATGGCAGGAGCCAGGAGCCAGGTGCTTTTCCTGGTCTCCCATGGGGTGCAGGGCCCAAGCACCTGGGCCATCCTCCACTGCACTCCCGGGCCACAGCAGAGGGCTGGCCTGGAAGAGGGGCAACCGGGACAGAATCCGGCGCCCCAACCGGGACTAGAACCCGGTGTGCCGGCGCCGCAAGGCGGAGGATTAGCCTAGTGAGCCGCGGCGCCGGCCCCCAACTATTTTTATGAGGCCAATCAATATTACCCCGATACCCTCAAACTAGGCAAAGACATTACAAGAGAAGATTATAGACCAACATCCTTCTTAATAAGACTTAAAATCCTTAACAAAATATTAGCTAATCAGAGGCAGGTGTTGCCTAGCAGTTAAGACGTGAGCCACAGAGCACAGCCAAGGTTTGGTTTGGTAAACAGCCTCCTGCAGGCTCTAGGGAAGAATCCATCCTGGCCTTTACCAGTTTTTAGCAGCTGCCTGCATTTTGACGGTGGCCTCTTTCCTCACCAAAGGCAGCAGTGTAGCATCTTCCAATCCCGGTCCTTGAGCCTCCTGCCTTCTAAACTACAATGGCCTCCCTAAGTGACTCCCTTGTAAGCTCCTCAGACCTGCAAGGTCCCTATTGTAAGGCAGCATATTCACCGGTTTCAGCGACTAGGACATAGACATCTTGGGAGCCCCATTATTCTACACATTTCTCCAAGTCTGTGGCTTGCCTTTTAATTTTCTTAATGGTCTTTTTAATAGCAGTTTTACATTATAATCAAGGCCATTCATCATTAAAATGGTTAGTACTTTTGTTCCTAAGATCCAAAGGAATGAAGATTTATGCTTACATTTCGGTCTAACATCCATGAGAGAGAGAGAGAGAATGAATGTGTGAAATAAGAACAAGTCTTGTCTCCCTATGGCTCACTAGGCGCACTAGGCTAATCCTCCGCCTTGCGGCGCCGGCACACCAGGTTCTAGTCCCGGTTGGGGCGCCGGATTCTGTCCCGGTTGCCCCTCTTCCAGGCCAGCTCTCTGCTGTGGCCCGGGAGGGCAGTGGAGGATGGCCCGAGTACTTGGGCCCTGCACCCCATGGGAGACCAGGAGAAGCACCTGGCTCCTGCCTTCGGATCAGCGCGGTGTGGAGGGTGAACCAACAGCAAAGGAAGACCTTTCTCTCTGTCTCTCTCTCACTGTCCACTCTGCCTGTCTGATAGTAATAATATAATAATAAATAAAAAAGAAAGAAAAGAAAGTCCCTGCATCACTGAATTACCTTTGACTTCTGTTGAAAACCAACTGATGATTGACAGACAGGGTCTATTTTAGACTCCATGCTTTTTACTTAATATATGTCTACAATAAAATCATCTGGGATTACTATAGCTTTACTTATATTTTAACTCTGATCACATGTAGGATAATAAGTCCTCTAAATTTATTCTTTCTACAAAACTAATTTTTTAGAGAACTTTTATTATTTCCAGGAACAGAAAACCCAATGGTGAACATCTGATCCCAGTTGCATGATTCTTTTTTTTTAGAGATTTATTATTTATTTATTTAAATATTTATTTATTACACAGAAGAGAGGCAGAGAGAGAGGGAGGGATAAGTCTTCCATCTGCTGGTTCATTCCCAAGTTGGCCACAACGGCTGGAGCTGCACTGATCCAAAGCCAGGAGCCAGGAGCTTCCTCTGGGTCTCCCACATGGATGCAGGGGTCAAGGACTTGGGCCATCTTCTACTGCTTTCCCAGGCCGTAGCAGAGAGCTGGATCGGAAGTGGAGCTGCCAGGACTCGAACCGCACCCATATGGGATGCCGGCACTGCAGGTGGCGGCTTCACCCGCTGCGCCACAGTGCCGGCCCCTCGTGTGATTTCTCTAGCCTTTGCTTTTCCCAGCTTGGCTGTGTGAGCCACGGAGTGCAGGCCCAGGACACTGCCTCCGCAGTGTCTGTCAGCAAACCTCATGTGTGTCACTGTAGATGACAGCATCCATCCGCTAAACCAGAGCACTTCTCTCATGTTAGTTCACCTGTGTGAAGCCAACAGCAGGTCTTCCTATAGGCCAAATACTCCAGTCTGGCCTTCTTTTTCTCTTTTTAAGATTTATTTATTTGAGGGCCGGTGCCACGGCTCAATAGGCTAATCCTCCACCTAGCAGCACCAGCACACCGGGTTCTAGACCCGCTCAGGGCGCCGGATTCTGTCCCAGTTGCCCCTCTTCCAGGCCAGCTCTCTGCTGTGGCCCGGGAGTGCAGTGGAGGTTGGGCCCTGCACCCCATGGGAGACCAGGAGAAGCACCTGGCTCCTGCCTTCGGATCAGTGCGGTGTGCCGGCCGCAGTGGCCATTGGAGGGTGAACCAACGGCAAAAGGAAGACCTTTCTCTCTCTCTCTCTCTCTCACTGTCCACTCTGCCTGTCAAAAAAAAAAAAAAAAAAAAAAAGATCAAGGATTTTATTTATTTTGTTACACAGAGTGAGGGAGAGACAGACACAGAAAGAAAGATCTTCCATCCACTGGTTCATTCCCCAGATGGCTACAATGGCCAGGGCTGGGTCAAGAGCTTTATCCAGGTCTCCAACGTGAGTGGCAAGGGCCCAAGCACTTGGGCCATCTTCCACTGCCATCCCAGGCACATTAGCAGGGAGCTGGATTGGAAGTGGAGCAGCTGGGACTTGAACCAGTGCTCATATGGGAATGCCAGCACTGCAGACGATGACTTAACTCGCTGCGCCATGATGCCAGTCTTGGCCTTCCTGATGATGCAGTAGGGGTCCACCACACACACTACAACACCGGGCAGCAGACAAATGGCCAGACGGATAGGATCCACATCATGTATCATCAGCACTGAGTCTCTTGTTCTTCACCAAGGTGGTCACAGTACTGACCCCTACGTGAAGGACAGGTGGTCTCCAAAATGGGGACATCACCTTGCAGGCAGCTTTATCCTCAGCCTGGGCCAACAGCCTTGGTTCTTCTCTTGCTCTGTCACTGGTCTCTACCTATGGGCCACCTTAAGCAGCTGCACGGCGGTGTAAACTGGGTGAACTGGTTCCTCCCACTCTGAGCTGCGCTCAGTCCCTTACTCTCTGTCAATGCAGCCAGCTGTGGCAGGGCTATTTAACAAAACATTTGGTGAAGTCCTTTTGGGGCTGGATATCCTGTCCATTGCTCAAATTCTTCGGTCTTTTCTCAAACGGAATTTACCACCTTTTTGGTCTCCTGCTTCTTTACCACAGAGAAACTGGGGCCACCTTCTTCCCTTTGAACATCTGAGACATATGGAGGAAATACTCAAAATTGTTTTGTTTTGGTTTAAAGATTATTTATTTATTTATTTATTTGAAGGTCAGAGTACAGAGAGAGAGAGGGAGAGAGAGACATCTTCCATCCATTGGTTCATGCCCTGGAAGGCCACAATGGCCAGCACTGGGCCAGGCCAAAGCCAGAAGCGAGGAGCTTTATTGTGGTCTCCCACGTGGGTAGCAGGGGCCCAGACATTTGGGCCCATCTTCTGCTGTTTTCCCAGGCCATTAGCAGGGAGCTGAATTGGAGGTAGAGCAGTCAGGACACGAACCAGCGCCCATATGGGATGCTGGCATCACAGGCAGCAGCTTTACCCAGTACACCACAATGCCAGCCCCTCGAAATTGTTGTTTTAAATGTTATTTACTTGAGAGATTGAAAGAGAGGTGGGAGAAGTAGACAGCGAGATAAGATAGCAATCTCCCATCTACTGCTTCACTCCCCAAACACTGGGCTCAGCCAAAGCTGGAAGATAGAAACTCAATCCAGGTCTCCCCAAGGGTGGCAGGGACTCAAGTACTTGAGCCATCACTTGCTGCCTTCCAAGATGCACATTAGCAGGTAACTCGAGTTGTGAGTGGAGATAGGACTCGAACCCAGGCACTCTGATACAGGATTGAGGTGTCCCAACCAGTGACTTAATCAGTAGGCCATATTCTCACCCACCAAAATTGTTTTAACTGTCCTCTGCATTTCTCTCTCTGTTTTATTTTATTTATTTGAGAGGCAAAGAGAGATCATTGGTTCACTCCCCAAATACCCACAACAGCTAAGACTAGGAACAAAGCTGGAAGGTGGGAACTCAATTCAGGTCTCCTATATGGGTGTCAAGAACCTAGTAACTTGAGTCACCACTGCTGCCTCCCAGGATCTACATTAGCAGGAAGCTGGAATCAGGAGCCAGAGTCAGGAATTAAACCTAGTGAATAGGACCTCTCTGTTTCTCCTTCTCTCTGTGTCTCTCAAATCATAAAACTTGTTTTAAAAAAACATGTGGGGCCAGCACTGTGGCTTAGCGGGTAGGGGGCCACCTCTTGCAAATGCCGGCATTCCATATGGGTGCCAGTTCGAGACCCGGCTGCTCCACTTCCAATCCAGCTCTCTGCTATGGCCTGGGAAAGCAGTAGAAGACGGCCCAAGTCCTTAGGCCCCTGCAGCCGCGTGGGGGATCCAGGGGTGGCTCCTGGCTTCGGATCTGCGCAGCTCTGGCCATTACAACCACTTGGGGAGTGAACCAGCAGATGGAAGACCTCTCTCCAGCTCTGCCTTTCAAACAAATAAATAAATCTTTTTAAAAAATGTAAAATATTACAACCACTTTGAAAAAAATGGCAGAATATATATCCCCAAGTATTTTAATTTTTATTTTCATTTTATTTGCAAGACAGAGAAAGATCTTCCATCTGCTGGTTCATTCCCCAAATGCCTACAATAGCCAGGGCTAGGCCAGGACAAGAACTCACAACTCAATCCAAGTCCCCCACATGATTGGCAGGGATCCAAGTACTTGAGCTACTATCTGCGGCCTCCCAGGGTGCACATTAGCAGAAAGCTAAAATTGGAAGCAGAGTAGCCAGGAGTTGAACGAGACACTCCAATATGGGACGTGAACATCCCAAGTAGGGACTTAAACTGCTGTACCAAATGCCCATACACACCCTCCCCAAAATTTAAATGAATGTTCCTAGCAGCTTTATTTTTTTTTTTTTTTTTTTTTTTTTTTTTTATTTTTTGACAGGCAGAGTGGACAGTGAGAGAGAGAGAGACAGAGAGAAAGGTCTTCCTTTTGCCGTTGGTTCACCCTCCAATGGCCGCCGCGGCCAGCGCGATGTGGCCGGCGCACCGCGCTGATCCGATGGCAGGAGCCAGGAGCCAGGTGCTTTTCCTGGTCTCCCATGGGGTGCAGGGCCCAAGCACCTGGGCCATCCTCCACTGCACTCCCGGGCCACAGCAGAGGGCTGGCCTGGAAGAGGGGCAACCGGGACAGAATCCGGCGCCCCGACCGGGACTAGAACCCGGTGTGCCGGCGCCTCTAGGCGGAGGATTAGCCTAGTGAGCCGCGGCGCCGGCCCTCCTAGCAGCTTTATTAATAACAGCCAAAAATGGGGAACAACTCAAATGGCCACTGCTCAGTGAACAGAAAAACAAATGTGGTTTAGCCATATATTGGAATATTTTGCTGAGTAGTATTGAAAAAGAAACAATAAAAAGTACCAATAAAAAGTAATTAACTACTGATACATGGAGCTACATGGCCAAATCTCAAAAACTTTCTAAGCTAAAGAAGTGAAATACAAATAGTCCATGATTCCATTTTTATGAGATTCTTCTACAACAGGTCAAATTAATCAATAATGACAGAGAGCAGATCAGTGGTTGCCTGGGATCAGCGGTAAAATTGGGAGGGGCCTAACTGCAAAGGGGCATGTGGCAGCTTGTGAAATGACAGAAACGTTCTGTGTCCTCACTGTGGTGGTGGCTGCATGTGTGTGAATTTGTAAAACTCAAACCAAACAAGGGGCTGGCACTGTGGCGCAGCGGCTTAATGCCCTGGCTTGAGCGCCAGCATCCCATATGGGCACCAGTTCAAGACCCAGCTGCTCCACTTCCCATCCAGCTCTCTGCTATGGCCCGGGAAAGCAGTAGAGGATGGCCTAAGACCTTGGGCCCCTGCACCCTCATGGGAGACCAGGAAAAAGCTCCTGGCTCCTGGCTTCGGATCACCGCAGCTCCGGCCATTGCAGCCAATTGGGGAGTGAACCATCGGACAGAAGACCTCTTCCCTCTCTCTGCCTCTCCTCTTTCTGTGTAACTCTTTCAAGTAAAATAAATAAATCTTTAAAAAAAAAAAAAATCAAACCACACCCAAAGTAGGGGTACAGTAGTGTCCCTTATCTGTGGCTTTCATCTTCTGTTTCAGTTATCCACAGTCAACTGCAGTCTAAAAATATTATATGGAAAATTCCATAAATAATTCCTAAGTTTTAAATTGTGCAGTTAGTGATGTGATAAAATCTCCTGCCCACATCCCCCCAGTGCTGGAATCATCCCTTCAGCATATGTATTTGTGATGCACACACAACCTACCTGTTGGCCACTTTAGCTGACTGGGTTCTCAGGTCAACTCCAGTAATATCACAGTGCTTGAGTTCACGTAACTCTTATTTTAATGAACAGTGGCCCCCAGGCACAAGAGTAGTGATGCTGGGCCAGCACCATGGCTCACTTGGCTAATCCTCTGCCTGCGGCACCGGCACCCCAGGTTCTAGTCCTGGTCGGGGCACCGGACTCTGTCCCGGTTGCTCCTCTTCCAGTCCAGCTCTCTGCTGTGGCCCGGGAGGGCAGTGGAGGATGGCCCAAGTGCTTGGGTCCCTGCACCCACATGGGAGACCGGGAGGAAGCACCCGGTTCCTAGCTTCACATCAGTGCGCAGCGCTGGCCGTGGCAGCCATTAAGGGAGTGAACCAACGAAAGGAAGACCTCTCTCTCACTGTCTATAACTCTCTCTCTCTGTCTCTCTCTCTCACTGTCTAACTCTACCTGTCCAAAAAAATAAAAAATAAAAAAATAGAGTAGTGATGCTGGCAACTCAGATATGCAAGAAGCTGTTATGTGCTTCCTTTAAGTGAAAAGGGGAAAGTTTATCATGGGTACATATAAAAAATACTTAGGTAGAAGTTTTTGATAACCCGATTTAAGAGTCTTGACTTGGGGCCAGCATTGTGGCATAGCAGGTAAAGCCACAGCCTGCGACACCAGCACCCCATATGGATGACGGTTCATGTCTCAGCTGCTCCACTTCCAATCAAGCTCCCTGCTGATGCACGTGGGAAAGCACCAGAAGGTGGTCCAAGACATTGGGTCCTTGCACACACATGGGAGACCCAAATGAAACTCCTGGCTCCGGCCTGGCCCAGCCTCAGCTGTTACAGACATTTAGGGGGTGAACGAGAGATGGAAGATTCTCTCTCTCTCTCTAACTCTGCCTTTCAAATAAATAAATAAAATCTTTAAAGAAAAAGAAAAAAAAAAAGCTGAGGCCTTTCCTCTCCTTTACAAAAAAAAGTCTTGGTTTGGGGCCAGCATCACAGCGTAGCTGGTAAAGCCGCTGGCCCTGCTTGGAGTCCCAGCAGCTCCGCTTCTGATCCAGCTCCCCAGTAACAAGCCTGGAAAAGCAGTGGAAGGTGACCCAAATGCTTGGGTACCTGCCACCCACATAGGAAATCAGAATAGCTCCTGGCTTCAACCTGGCCCATTCCTGGCCATTGCAGCCACTTGGAGAGTGATCAGCAGATGGAAGATTTGTGTGTGTGTGTGTGTGTGTGTGTGTCCCTCTCTGTCACTGGGCCTTTCAAATAAAATAAAATACATCTTAAAAAAAAAAAAAAAAGCCTCGATTTATCCATGCCTGAAGCCTGTGACATCTATTCTGGACTTCTTAGTGATATGTACAGGAAAAAACATGGTATTTCTAGGGTTTGACACTATCTGTAGTTTCAGGCACCTACTGGGATGTCTTAGAACATATGCCCCATAGGTAACAGGCACTCTTTTATTGTATGTAAATCGTACCTCTAATCATACCTCAATAAAATTGGTGTGGGTGCCATTGCTGCAGCAGGTTAACACCCTGGCCTGAAGCACCAGCATCCCATATGGGCACCGGTTCTAGTCCCGGCTGCTCCTCTTCTGATCCAGCTCTGTGCTATGGCCTGGAAAAGCAGTAGAAGATGGCCCAAGTCCTTGGGCCCCTGCACCTGTGTGGGAGACCCGGAAGAAGCTCCTGGCTCCTGGTTTCAGATCGGCACAACTCCGGCCACTGTGGCCATCTGGGGAGTGAACAAGCGGACAGAAGACCTCTCTCTCTGCCTCTCCTCTCGCTGTGTAACTCTGACTTTCAAATAAATAAATAAATCTTAAAATAAATAAATAAATAAATAAATAAATAAAATTGGTTTGAAAAGAATAAAATATCCATGCCAAATGAAGCAATCTGGTTTCTGAAGCTGAAGTCGCCCTCTCGTCTGTACCACATGCCTACATGTGCTGTAAAACAGAAGACAGCTGCGTGACCCACCTAGGGCGGAAACAGCACGTGCTTACCTGAGGTGCTACATAATAAGGGGTGAACTGGGGTGTCATCAAGTCACCTTGGTCAATTTTAGCAAATCCAAAGTCACATAACTTCACTGGGGCATCCTGAAATAAAATGAGAGAGTCACTGCTCCAGAATTCTCAGTAAACAGTCCAGGAAAACCCAGGTTTAAGACACGTTACCCTGAGCTTTCAGACATCTCTGGCTGAGACCTGAACCAATGAGTTACATGTCTCCAGGCCAGGAGGCAATTATTTGTACTGAAAAATTGTTCTTAGGAAGCAAAAGCACGGAATTTCTACCCACTCAAATAGTTAGCCTTACATTATAACTTGCAAGGGCAGCACTAAAACCAAAGCCTTGGCCTACTGCCCCCTGAACTCACATCAGTCATCTCTCACCATTAGCCATAGCCTGCACAACAACACAGCGACTTATTGGTGGGACAAGATTCAGGGGCAAGGCCGTCGGGGCAAGCAAGGTTCACAGCCATGAAACCATTACGCTTTAAGGCATATTATAACAGCATAAAGATCCCTGCCCCCTTCCTAATGACTCTCCAAATAACGTCTAAAATCTTAAGACCCACAAATTCCTATCAGCATGTCAGAGTGGCAGCACTGAAATTCAGGAAGAAGCGTTCTCACCAAAGAATTATCCTTGAAAAGAAGATTTTCAGGCTTGAGGTCTCTGTGTGCGACGTTTAACGAGTGACAGTGCTGTAGGGCCAAAGCTATCTGGAAAACGACACAGTGGAGCAGCTGCCTCTTAGGAAAGATCAATCTTTAATGTCCCTGGTGTATAAAACTCAGGACTTTAGATACAAACAAAACACGGTTCCATTAAGTCAATTAAGTCACTGGTTGGTTTCTATTTTAACATAGAAATTAGGTAAGATTTGAGGTACCAAAAAACAGGAATAAATTATGCTTGGTTTAACTGTAACCTACATTTTACTAAACAAAAAGAAAAACACAACAGTGAAACAATTCTTGTCATAATATACTGATGGCTAGATGCTGTGAAAATGGGAAAATGTTCATTCATCTGAGGCATGACAGGCAACGCGCAGAGAAAACACCATGCCAGACAGTCTGCAGCAGGCCTGGGTTTCCCCAGCCGGGCACCAGGCAGAACCACTTGGTTTGGGAGAACTGCACTCCTCAAAGAGCTGAACAGAAACTCTGCCTTGAAGAAATCAGCTGATTGGATTCTTCCAACTGATGTTGGAAACATCGCCTAGGTTCTTGAAAATATTGCCTGTTTGAGCGGAATTGGAAGGGCTTTTTTTTTTCTTTTACAGGTGATCAGAGCTCACCTTTTAGTCATAGTATTTGTAAAATGAAAGATATCATTTTAAAAATTAAATGGAACAGATTCTACTGTCTGCCAACTCTCAGTATGGAATTTTCTCAGCAATCAAAATATCAGTCCATCCCTACCGGAAAGAAGACATCCAAAAGGGCTCAAGGCTTATGGGAAATTTGAAAGAACTTTTCATTCAGAACCAGTTGGTCCATGCTGTCTGCTTTTCTCTGCCCTGCTTGCTTGGTCTGAGGATAAGACCAGACAGCGTAGCTTTACACCTCCATAAGAGGTTATTACCAGTTGGATTCTTAGTACAGTCTGTAACATAAGTCATTTCAATAATAAAGTTATGATGTCAAAACAGAATATAATTAGGAATAACCCAGAATTACAAGGATCATAGACTACTACTAAAATCTGAATAAAAGAGAGAGGTACCTCATACAAGAAGTGTCTTAGAACACAGTCTCTCAGGTGAGATTAGCAGCATTTTATCTCAAAGTCTAGTAACAGTGGAAGCTGCATGTCTGCAGATAGCTATAGTCTACCAAGGAGTTAAGATCAACTCTCTTCCAGAGTCTACTGAAATATCACAACAGGCCTCAGGAAACAGCTGGCAACCAAGCAAGAACACACCCCTCCAGGCAGCCCTCCCCTAACAGAGTCCCGTCACTCTGGTCTGATTACATAACAAAGCAGGCAATGAGAAGTCAAATAGAGCTTTTCTTTAAGCTTTCTTTTATTCCCCCCCAAAGAAATTGCACTTGTTAACCAATATGGTTGGCAGCTTGACTGGTACCCGGGGTTAACTTGCCTGCTTTGTTACTTGGCTGGCTTGCTTCTCTGTAAAGTGCCGGTGCTGGCTGATTCTGTGAAATAGCTCGCCCCCTTCCATCATCTCCATTACAATTAAGAGTCGAGCCCTGTTTGAAAGCATTTGATTTTGTTAAGTTTAAAAAAAAAAAAAAGCAAACAAAAAAACCCCTGAAACATCAAGAAGCTGACCTAAATGTATCTATGTTGGCTATAAAGTGTGTAACTACTTCCTTAAACCATGATAACACAGCTACTAAGTAAGAGTAAAACCTCTTATGTTCTTAAAACAACTCCCCCACACAGACCCTGAATTCTGGTTACCATATTTTGATAGAAATGTTTCCAGCTTCCATCCAAATGCTTTCACCAACAGAGCACAATTGTGAAAATCATCATGTGACTTTGTATTTTAATATTCCATCTTCTTTCTCCACCTGTAAAATTCCTCCTCTCCCTTCAAGCCCTGAGTTCCACACAGCCTCTGTAAGACACCTCCCTTCTCAGACTACAATCAGCTGCTCACCTCCTGAGTAAACTCTCCTCAATGCCCAAAAAGCAGCCATAGCTTATTTAATTCTGAATTCCCTAGAAGAGACTTAGAGTTCCACCCAGTGAGCTTGCCAAACATTTGGCATCCAAAAGAATAACACTGATTTCTTTCTTTAAAAGGAAAGCCTGACTAAGCAACCAACAGGGGCATTCTACTCTATCAGCCTCTAAGGCTTTGCCAGAATAACATGTGGGCCTCTTTCAGTAACTTTGAAACAGAACTGTTTAAATTCCACATCACAGGATTTCTCATTTTGTTTTGTTGGTTTTTAATTTCAGAGGCAGAGAGGAGGAGAAAGACAGAGAGAAAGCAAGACAAACATAAACGTAGAAAAACAGTTCCCCTCTGCTGGTTCACTTCCCAAATGCCCACACTGACCAAGGGTGGATCAGGCTGAAGCTGGGTGCCAGGTCTCCCCCATGGGAGGCAGAAGCCCAGTCACTGCAGCCATCGCCTGCTGCTTCCCTGGGTCTGCATTAGCAGGAAGCTGGAGTCAGGAGCCGGAGCTGGGTATTGAACCCAGGCACTCCAGTGTGGGACAAGACACCTGAACCAGCAGACTAAATGCCTACTCTGAATGCCTCTTCTTAAACAGAGAAAGTAACTGAGATAATCGGGGGGGGGGGGGGGGGGGGGGAGGGGGGGGGGTACAGAGTAATCAGGACTGTATCAGACGGTATCAGATGTGGTTGGGGACTCATTTTATAATTCTTTTCCAAATGTTTGACATCTTCCAAAATACAAGGGGACAGAGAAAAGGAGGAGGAGAGGGAGAGAGAGCAGAGAGGGAAACGGGGAGACAGTGCATAAGAAAAGACTCTGCTACAGCTTGCCTACTATGGGCATGAGACGCTGATCCTGTGTACTCTTACCTGGGACTGGACTCATGAGGAAACTGTACACTGTTAGCAAACACTTCAATAATCTGAACTATATTGGGGTGTGTGGCACACATCATGTGCAGACGTACCTTAAAGAGAACACAGGACATGTTTGTGTGCATACAGGATGCCAACTCCAACCTTCCCACCAAAAACTGACCGCACCCAATATGAGGGGGTGAGCCTATTATAGCAAAAGTCTTATCATCTGGAATTATGTGAAAAACAAAAATCACAGCAATATCATACGCAGACTATCTCCATAATGCTCTTCCCTTGCATAAAATCTTACCAATAACTTTATTTTCTATTGCTCTATTAGCAAATGAGAAATGTGGCAAGTACCTCATTTTATTTCAGAAATTATCCATGCCCCTCTCATCTGAAACCTATGCACATTTTAAAAACCAGAACACATCCTAAGTCCTGCAGCAGCATCTTCTATAGACACTGCACCTGATCCATCATCTTTCAAGCACTGTTTTCAATGAGCAAAAACTCAAGTGAACTTGCAAGTTAGGGTACAAGAATCCCACTAATTAAAAAAGAACAAGGGGTAGCTGGAAGGGAACAGACTCTCCTAACAGTATTCAGTACTGACAGATCTAGGAGCTCTTAGTAATGATAACATGGACATAAAATTCTTTATACATCTCTGTGTTCTCTGTAGGAAAATGTCTTACTTCTATAAAAAGTGCAGTTCTTGGGCACTTCAAGTATTAGGTAAATCAAGGCAATAAAGGACCATACCTCATTTCTAGCTTTTGGACGATCAAGAAGAATTTTCAGTGCAAGCCGTTCTTGGGTAGATTTCTTCACACAGACTCTAGATTTGGAGAAAAACGAAGCCAATCAGAGATCAACTATGTTACAGTGAAAGTTAATTTAACGAGTTTATTCTTTGAGAATTGTACTTTAATCAAGGATATATCCAGCAACATGAAAACAAACTTGTCCCCAAGGCAGACAGGTGAGCAGTCACAGAAGCACCTTACCCCTCTTTCAAGCTGCCAGAATGAAGCATGTGACATCAGCTCACTGTTGTGAGCCAATAAGAAGAGTCTCTGGTGGCTGCCAGTGACTCTCCAAGTGGCCCCATGGTGCCAACGCTGAAAATGATTCCCCATGACAGACCATGTTCCATGGTCACGTAACTGTATTTCTAAATGTTAAGAAAAAGCCCAATGTAAAAAAATCTTGTTAAACTAAGGCTAAGTCTCAAATCTGACACACCTAAAGCTGCTAATTCAAGATGCAATTCCAATGGCCTTTCTCAGAACAATTTTTCCATAGTATTCACATGGGCCTCTTACCTAACTGGACCACTAATTCCAGCTCCCAGCTTCTGAGTCCAATTGATATTGTATTCTTCTAAAATGGAGGTTTCCTATTAAAATAAAAAGCAGAGAGGGCAGAGAATGATTCCCTAATTAAAAAGCTGAATAATTAAGCAGGAGTTGGACAACAGAAGCCCTGTAACTCAACATATCATCTTCTAACATAATCGGATAAGCAAAGTTTGTGTTCCATAGAGCTTTGTAATCAGACTTTTCACATACATGATTCAGTCAGTGCTTTCCAACAAGAAGGAAAAGACTCTAGAAGAAAAAGAAATTATTCAGTTCATCATCAGGGTTTATTTGAATAGACAATCAATGCTTTTTTGAGGGTGCGGGGGTGAAGATATTCTTTCAAATTCCTGCAACTGGGCATGGCAGGTTAAGCTGCCACCTTGATGTTGGCATGCCATATTAGAGAACCAGTTAGAGTCCCAGCTGCTCCACTTCCCTGCTAATACACCTGGGAAAGCAGATGACCCAAGTGCCTGGGCTCTGCCACACACATAGGAGACCAGGCTGGAGCTCCTGGCTCCTGCTGGCGTCAGTCGTGGCTGTTTCGATCATTTGGGGAGTGAACCAGAGGGTGAAAGGTATCTGTCTCTGTCTCTCTCCTCCTCTCTAACTCTGCCTTTCAAGTAAAAATAAAATCTTTAAATAAATAAATAAAAAGGCTGCAACTTCTAAATGCCTGTGCTATCATCTCAGTAAACTTATCTAATTCTCTCAGGTGAACCACAGGGACCCAATTATTTGAAACATCACTGCTGCCTCCCAGAGCGCATACTAGCAGGAAAACTACGATCAGGAGCCAGAGTGGGGTATCCAACCCAGGTACTCCAATGTAAGACACAGGAGTCTTTTTTTTTTTAAAAGATTTATTTATTTATTTGAAAGTCAGAGTTACTTAGAGAGAGAAGAAGAGGCAGACAGAGAGAGAGAGGTCTTCCATCTGCTGGTTCACTCCCCAGTTGGCTGCATCGGCCAGAGCTGTGCCGATCTGAAGCCAGGGGCCAAGAGCTTCTTCCAGGTCTCCCACATGGGTGCAGGGGCCCAGGGACTTGGACCATCCTCCACTGCTTTCCCAGGCCACAGCAGAGAGCTGGATCAGAAGTGGAGCAGCCAGGTCTTGAACCGGCACCCATATGGGATGCCGGCACTTCAGGTCAGGGCATTAACCCGCTGCGCCACAGCACTGGCCCCATAGACACAGGAGTCTTAATCAGCATCTTAATTGTTAGGTTAATACCCGCCCCTGTACCTGTATTTCTTATAAACAGCTTCAATAGTTCAGGATAGAAACTCCACAGTTCAGGGAAAGTTTTCATGAAATTCCTGACTAGTCACTGCATGTTTTGCTTCCATTCCCATATTTTCTCCATTAGAAGTCATATTTAAATTGTGATCATCTACAATTCATTTTGCAGGGCTCCACAAGTACAGAACTTGAGAAATCAAGCTAAGACCTGGTATTTTAAAAAATTTTCATTTTCCTTATTTGAAAGGCAGAGAGATAGCAAAAGAGGCGAGGAGAGGGGAATAGAGAGGAGTTGACGGGAGTGGAGGGGTGGGGAGGGGAGGGGAGGAGAGAGAAAAGATCTTCCATCTATTGGTTCATTTCCAAAATCCCCACACAGGCCAGGGGCTGGGCCAGGCAAAAGCCAGGAGCCAAGAATTCAATCCAGGCTTCCCGTGTGTGGCAGGGACCCAACTACTTGAGCCATCACCTGCTCTCAGGGTGCACACTAGCAGGAAGCTAGAATTGGGAGCAAAGCCAGGACTTGAACCCAGGCATCTGAGTCAAGATACAGTTGTCCCAACTGCCTGCCCCTGATTTATCACTAGAATCTTGGTGTAGGGGAACAGGATATTTGTTTATGCAGCACATAATCACTGAACAATTAGAACATGCCTGACACCAGGCCAAGGTCAGAGATGAAAACACAGATTCTGCACAATATATGCGCAAGTGTATGAAACAAACTGAGTGGGGCCAGTGCTGTGGCATAGCGGGTTAACGCCCTGGCCTGAAGCGCCAGCATCCCATATGGGCGCCAGTTCGAGTCCTGGCTGTCCATTTCCAATCCAGCTCTCTGCTATGGCCTGGGAAAGCAGTAGAAGATGGCCCAAGTCCTTGGGCCCCTGCACCCATGTTGGAGACCCAGAGGAAGCTCCTGGCTCCTGGCTTCGGATCAGTGCAGCTTCAGCCGTTGTGGCCAATTGGGGAGTGAACACTGGATGGAAGACCTCTCTCTCTCTCTCTCTCTCTGCCTCTCTTCTCTCTATGTAACTCTGAATTTCAAATAAATAAATAAATATTAAAAAAAACAAACAAACAAACAGAGTATAGCCTCTACTTCCACCCCTTTCTGCTGCCCAGGTTCTTTGGTTTGGGTAATTTGAGAGCTCCCATGTGCTGGTTCATTCCCCAAATGCCCACATGGCTGGGCTGGGCCAGGAACTTAATCCAAAGTGCCCACATGAGCAGCAGGAACCAGTCTCTTGAGTCATCACTGCTGCCTCTCAGGGTCTGCATGGGCTACAGCCAGGAATCAAAGCCAGGAACTGCGATTAGGACAGGAGCTTCTAGGTTAATTACCCACTCCCACTGCCCAGTTCTTGGTAAAGGTCCTCAGTACTATCTGTGGAATGGATGACTGGAACGGTAGGACTACACCCAGCTAATGAACAGATACTGAGTTGGGGGAAGCAGCAATGTTACACACATTCCCTTCTGAAAACCTGCACATCAGGGGTAAGGGGCTTGCCAAGGTTACACAGTGAGTTACAGGCACGATCAAGACCAGTGTCTACCTGTGGTCTCTCTCCCTACTGCAGCCCCATTTCTGCTATCCAGGTAACTGCCCAGGCTCCAGCATAAAGACTAGGAACAAATTTTGCCCAATCAGAGAGGAGTCTTCCTACACAGAACTCAAATCTACACATCTAACCTGTTGTCTATTTTGTGTTCAGAATACCTGAAATTGGGTAATTTGTAAAGAACAGAGTTTTTAATGTTGTTTATTTTTATTTAAAAAGCAGACAAAGAAGAGAGAGATCTTCCATCCACTGGTTCACTGCTTAAATGTCCCCAACAGAGTTGGGCCCAGCCAAAGTAAGGTGCCGCACCTCAATCCAGAGCTCCCACGCGGGACCTAACCACCTAAACCATGCGGCCTCCCAGAGTGCACACTAGCAGGAACCAGGAATCAGAGGTGGACGCTGGCACCTGTCCTGGGAGGACACCCCGGGAACAGAGATAATTGTTTTCCTTACAGTTCTGGAGGCAGGAAAGTCCAAAGTTGAGGGATCCACATGCGAAAAGGGCTTTCTTTTTTTTTACTGAATGGAGACATCAGCGGACTTCAAAGACAGACTCTAGTTTAATTCTAGGTAATTTACTAAACATAACAAGCTACAGGGTAAAGAGTAAGAATCCAGAGCTGCCACAATCTGTTCTCTAAACACCCAGTTCTCAACCAGAAAGTATTAGACATACAAAAAACAAAAGTGTCCCCCAAGCTCAGGAATAGGAGAAAGTAACAGCAACTGTCTGATCGGATGTCAAAGACTCTGCGGAGGTGGGGAGCCTTTCTCCTGCCAAGGGCCACTTGGATATTTATAACATCATTCACAGTCCACACAAAAACATCAGCTTAAAAATTAGCCTAAGGCCAGCACCACGGCTCACTAGACTAATCCTCTGCCTGCGGCGCAGGCACCCCGGGTTCTAGTCCTGGTCGCTCCTCTTCCAGTCCAGCTCTCTGCCGTGGCCCAAGTGCTTGGGCCCTGCACCCCATGGGAGACCAGGAGGAAGCACCTGGCTCCCAGCTTCGAATCAGCACGGTGCACTGGCCGCAGTGCGCCGGCCACAGCAGCCATTGGGGGGTGAACCAACGGCAAAGGAAGACCTTTCTCTCTGTCTCTCTCTCTCTCACTGTCCACTCTGCCTGTCAAAAAAAAAAAAAAAAAAAAATTAGCCTACTATAGATTTACTGAATTTTGAGTCATACCTGTAGTTGTTTTGGCCAAGCCAGACCAAATTATTTCTGCAGGATAGATGTTTCCTACCCTCTTTAAAGCAACTATTTTTAAAGTGTTCAAAGAATTAAAAGAAACTATGATGAGGAGCCAGTGTTGTGGCACAGCAGCTTAATCTGCCATCTGCAAAGCCAACATCCCACGTAATGATGTTCAAGTCCCAGCAGCTCCACTTCTGATCCAGTGGCCGCTAGTGCGCCTGGGAAAGAAACAGAAGATGGCCCACGTGCTTGTGCTCCTGCTTTCCATGCGGGAGATCCAAAGTAGTTCCAAGCACCTGATTTTGGCCTGGCCCAGCCCTGGACACTGTAGCCATTTGGGGAGTGACCAGTGGATGGAAGAGCTCCATGTGTGTGTGTATGCCTCCCTCTCTCTATTTAACTTTGCCTTTCAAATAAATAAACCTTGGAAAACAAAAAAAAGAAACCATGAAAGGTAACCATATGGATATGGTTGTGCCTTGAAAAGTACAATAACAAACATGAAAAATTCATCAGAGCACTCAACAGATTTGAGGTGGCAGAAGAATCAGTGAATCTCAAGAGAGACCCAGTGCCACTGCTGTGGTATAGCAGGTAAAGCTGCTGCCTTTGATGCCAGAATCCCACACGGGTGCTTATTCAAGTCTCAGCTGCTCCACTTCCAATTCAGTTCCCTGCCAATGCACTTGGGAAAGCAACGGAGGATGGCCAAGTGCTTGGGCCCCTGCACCCACGTGGGAGACCTGGAAGAAGCTCTTGGCTCCTGGCTGTGACCTGGCCCAGCCCCCAACTGTAGCAGCCACTTAATGAACCAGTAGGTGGAAGATCTGACTCTTCTCTTTCTGTAATTCTTTCAAATAAATAAATAAATCTTTAAAAAAAAAGGGGGGGGCAAGGGAAAATATTTCAAGAAGCAATAAGGAAGAAAAAAAAAAACTCACCCAACCTTGATAAATAAAACATATCACTCCAGAAGCTCAACAAACTCTAAATAGGAAAAACACAAAGAGAAGCACACCCAGACACGT